GTGATCCACCCGCCTCGGCCTCCCAAAGTGCTGGGATTACAGGCTTGAGCCACCGCGCCCGGCCCAATTTTTATATTTTTAGTAGTGATGAGGTTTCACCATGTTGGCCAGGCTGGTCTCAAACTCTAGACCTCAGGTGATCTACCCACCTCAGCCTCCCAAAGTGCTGGGATTATAGGGGTGAGCCACCGTCCCCAGCCCGATAATTATTTATTAAAATGTGTAATATAGTTATGTTGTTTCAATCATTTGGTATATTAATAATTATAATGATAACTGGAGAAAATTTTTAATACTTAAAACCACTTAGTTGCGGAAAAATAAAAAATATATACATATTATTTTCCTAGAGAAAGATGACAAAATACTCAGAAAAGGCTTCCAAGTATAATTAATAACATTATGAGAAGGCATATTGCCCCAAACCTGTGCCAAAGTAGAATTTTTTTTTGAGGTGGACTCTCGCTCTGTGGTCCAAGTTAGAGTGCAGTGACGCGATCTTGGCTTATTGCAAACTCCGCCTGCCAGGTTCAAGCAATTCTTTTGCCTCAGCATCCTGAATAGCTAGGATTACAGACATGTGCGACCACACCTGGCTAATTTTTGTATTTTTGAAACAGGGTTTCCCCATGTTGGCCAGGCTGGTTTCTAACTCCCAACGACAGATGATTCGCCCACCTCGGTCTCCCCAAGTACTGGAATTACAGGCATGCGCCACCGTGCCCGGCCTAAAGTAGAACGCTTTGGTATGGTGGTATATCAGTGCCTCCTGGGATATATCTAGCATTCCTAATAAAATGTATCTAGCATTCCTAAAAAATTCCTATCAATTGTCTGATTTTAATGAGATTATTAGAGCCCTTCTGGAATGGTGATTTATTTTACCTGCCTAATTTTTGGTCTTATGTTGAATCTAATGGTCTTGAACTAAAAAAATTTTTTTAAGTCTAGTAACTTAATGAGTTTTTTAATTAAGTGTTTATATCAATGCATAATATTTATGATAGCTCTCTCAGGAGTCTTTCTCTTGTGACAAGTTTGAAATAAAACTTTGTGAATGTATCTGAGAAGTTGCCTTAACAATTAGGATAAAATTCTGAGGGAGAAATGGAATGGAAATATGGATTCAACAAGAAAAAGGAATAATGTAAATTTCCAAATCTCAACAAGAATGCTTATGTGTTTCGTACATGGACAACGGTGGTATCTCTACATATTACTCCATAAAGTACGTCCTTTGTAACCTTTAAAACATGATAAGTGGTTTCCAATGCTTGAGGGTATGTAGTTTTTCAGAATCTACTTTGGGCTTTAAAAATGAGACAGTTGGCCGGACTTGGTGGCTCATACCTGTAATCCCAGCACTTTGGGAGGCTGAGGCACGTGGATTGCCTAAGATCGGGTGTTCAAAACTAGCTTGGCTAGCCTGTTGAAACCCCGTCTGTACTAAAAATACAAAAATTAGCTGGGCATGGTGGCAGGCACCTGTAATCTCAGCTACTTGGGAGGCTGAGGCAGGAGAATCGCTGGAACCCAGGAGGCAGAGTTTGCAGTAAGCGAAGATCGTGCCATTGCACTCCAGCCTGGGCAGCAGAGAAAGAGTCCATCTCAAAAAAATAAAAAGACATGGTTAAAGACCACTGGTGCAGATCTCACATTGAGCAGAGTAGGACCTCAGCAGGACCTGTAGGGCAGGGACTGGGGTCAGGGTATTCCTGGGTGAGCCAAAAGGAATAGGTGCCCAAGGGCTCTGGGTCCTGCAGGAGGCAGGCCTCGTAGTGCTATCCCTTCGCATATACTAGCTCTGTGGGCTGGGACCCAGTCTCTCCTGACCTGTTTCTTTTTGGCCTCCGAATTTCTTGTCCTCAGAGAAAGAATAAAACAAGGATTTAGAATTCGGGACTTGTTAAGTTGATTTTGGCCAAGTGTTTTTGAAAACTCTTCCGGGTGTGGCTTCTCTTCAGTGTTTGTGTCTTAGTGACCTCTGACTATACAGAAGGCAGAAAAACAATGTCGAGAGAGAGATCTTTTGAAGACTGTGTGACAGACAGAAAGAGGAAAGAAAAGAGGAGGAAGCAAGAGAAGCATGAAGGAGGAGCAGAATATTCTTTTGGTAGGAAAATATTTCCAGATTGTGTCTGTTTTTTTAAAGATTCTGTGGGAGGATATCCAGGGACACTCCTCAATTCAAACCTTCGGCGTTCCCTTCCGCAAATTCGGCTCTGGGAGCTGCCAGTGCTGCAGGACAGGCGTAGGCCCACATAGGGCTGAAACACACCTAAACTCTCCCTCCCGGGTTTTGGAGATGAGCTCACCTCTGTTCTGTCAGGCATCCCGGAAGAACTACATGCATTTGGGTCAATTTGGATGGAGGAAATGAAGGATTATAGAGGAAGAAATCACCATTCCTCTTGTGTGTACTGGCAGGCTCAACCCTGAATGCACTTTCCTACTTTAATGTCTGAAGTGTGTTAATAAATCACAGTAAAGAATGGAACAGTAAAAACAAAACCCCAGGATAAAAGAAAAGGCAACATGTCCTGTGGACTGAATCCTGGAACAGTCCTGCTCAGGAGGGAGTAAGGTCCCATGTTTTCCTGACATGGGACCAGTGGAGACAGAAGACGGTCTGATTCTTCTCTGATTCCTTACAGTTTCATCAGCAGCCTTGATCTTCTTCAGAAAGGGAAGCTACCTTTTCTTCTCTTCCAACTAATGGGGGGTGAGGAGAAGGGAAAAGTAGGGGCAAGGGGAGGGAAAAGAAAAGAGTAGGGAGAGGGAAGGAAAGGAGAAGGGAAGGGAAGGAAAGAAAGAAGAAGAAAATCAAGGCATTGCCTCGATTATTGATTTACGGGTTATATCCTGTATAGCTTCATGGCTCATCCAGTTCAGTTAGGGCTTCAAGATGCTGCATCCGCTGTTACAGAAGAACGGCTCACTTTCCATGGCCGTCTCCTATAATTATTTTCCTAATTAGTTCCCTGGTCCTACACATTATTTCCCTAATTCTCACGACAAAATTAACTCATACTAGCACCATAGATGCCCAAGAAATCAGGACTGTCTGAACTATTTTACCTGCCATAAATTATCTTACCTTTAATTGCCCTCCCATCCCTATGTATTCTGTGCATAACAGATGAAGTTATTAACCCTTCTCTTACCATCGAAGCAATTGGCCACCAATGGTACTGAAGCTATGAATACACAGACTATGAAGAATTAGGCTTCAATTCTTATGTAGTCTCAGCAGCAGACTTATAGCCAGGAGAACTTTGACTCCTCAAAGGTGATAACTGAACAACCCTCCAAATAGATATCCCCATCTATGCATTAATCTCATCTGAAGACATTCTGCACTCATGAACTATCCTTTCATTGGGCCTCAAAACAGATGCAATCCCTGAATTACCTGCCTATGGAGAGAACCTCTGAGCGTTAAGATGATGAGCCCAGATCCTCTCCCTCACTGCTCTGTGTCTGTGTCAGATGATTGCTCATGGGAGTTGTTAGTTATTAGTCACTCTGCTATTTCAGACATTTTTTTGCCTTTTAAACGTCAGTTCAGGTTGACCACAGGGAAACTCTGTTACGACCAAAGGGTCAAGCTCCTGAGTGCCGGCACTGGCCCCCTTTCCTCCTGTCCCCACCCCTCTCCCTCTTGTCCTTGTTCCTGACTTCTCTTTAGCGGAGAGGTGTACAAAACAAATTCAGGGCTCATTTCATCTCTGTACATCCTTGCTGCTCTCTCTTCCTTAAACAAGACCTTCTTCTCCCCTTTTCTTAGAACTGTATTTGGTGTGACAACAGTTTGAAAAGCGCCACCCATCCTCTCTGAGACCACAAGCAGCGCTGAAGGCAGTGAACCAAGACTTACAAACAAGGGTGTAGACCAGAGAACACGCTGGGGCCAGAGGAGGAGAAAGCAAGATCTAAGCAGCACAGTTTCAAGTGCGAGGGGAGCAGAAAGCAGCCAGCTCTAAAAAAAAAAAAAAAAAGAAGAAGAAGAAGAGGCAAAACCCAGAACTCAAACCTCATGAAACTATCACAAGTTTCAAGCCTTTAAAAGGTGTTTTTACTGCAGATTTTAGAGACTTATCACCTCATCAACGGTTATGAACCCAAATCCTTGCAAACTGAGCAATAGAGTCAGATTGGTCTCTCAGTCTCTGCATGTGAAGGGTCTCTGGGCTTTTCAGGACACCTTTAGGGTCAGGTTTTGTGAAATAGGTTGAGCCAGCTTTCTGGGGGCTGTAAGCAACCCTGGAGAAAATGGACAGAGGGAAATAAAGGCATGCCAGTGTGCTTTTCCCAGTGGGGACCTGGCAGCGGCCAAAGCAGGAGAAGTATTAGATTCCCATCTTTTCATATCATGGAAGCCCATGATGGCGATGGGGTGCAGGGCTGACTAACCATCTTGAGGTCAAGAGGCGGCCCCTCAGGGATCTGAAGCTGTTTAGCAAGAGCTCAGGAGGGCCCATCTCCTTGTCCCTCAGGGAGAGCCCCTGGTGCTATAGCCCACCCCCTGGAAGGGGCAGCCCTTGGAGAAATGTTAGAATGCTGGGTGAATTATTTTCTTCTGAAATTTCATCCAAAGTTTCAACAAGGCACCCAATAGAAGAGTTGTTAAGTACTGTGAGTGGGTGTGGTGGAGGAAGCAGAGAGGGGAAGGGGCAGCTCCGCTCTCACTGTATCTACTGCTCATCCTAGAGATGACCTAATGTCAAAAACTTTGCAAATGCCACCAGCTGCCTGTTGCATCCACGTGGTTCAGTCGTTGCTATTTACAGAGTAGTATAAATGCCCGGTGCTACTGTGACCTAGGGTGCTGAGTACCAATGTTCCTGGAAGTGCCCCTAGTAGTATTTCTTTCATTAGCTGGTAGTTTATTAAAAACTTCATGCAAGGGTAACACGGTATTGCTGATTGTAGGTATTATCTGATGATGATAATCCTGTCGAGTACTTGTTGGGCCAGATCACTTCGTGAGGGCAGAAGGTTGGTAACACTTGTCTTAAATGCAAGATTCTTTCTCTTTTCATCCACCTTCTCCCTCCTATTCAGCAATCCTTTCTTCACCCTTGGAAACATTTGTGCTCTGCATATGCTCTTGCACAATCCTGGGGTCTCATGGTTTACTTTATGATGACAATATTAATGTCAACAAAGCCACATTTTCCCTAAGACACTTGGGAGTATGTGTGGCTTATCCTTCTGTTTTTCTTACGAAGTAAAATGGCACTCAGTGTGTCTGTCCTCACTTTACTGATATGGAGATTAAGGACAAGGAATCTAGGCGAACGGGCAGTAGGGCACGTGAAACGTGGCAGGGTCTCCGGAGAAAGGGAACACACTTTCAAAGAGCCAGTGAGTCAAACTTGTGGGAACCCATGCCAGAAAGTTCTTACGGGGAAGGCTGAACTGTTCCATCTAAAAGAAAAGAACATATATTCGTTTAAACAAGCCCTGAAGTGCAGCTATCTAACAGGCTACGTAGATGGGGTTGGGCGCAAAGGGTTTGCTGCGTTGCTGCTGATTTCTCAAGTCTTTCATTTTCTTTGCTGACCTCTGCAGTCCCACAGAACACAGTCCATGCATTAGACTTGCAGCCATAGGATCTGGGTCTTGTGTATTAGTTTTGAAGGCAGCATGCCCTGCTAGACTGCAATATCCTAGAAGACAAAGGTCAACCAAGACCTTCGCATGAGGCCTGATGGGAATCAGTGTTTCACAGACATTTTTTAAATGAATGATTTGATTGATTTCCAGTAGTTCTCTAGGCAAGAGCGATCAGAGACTTTAGAAGTTGGTATCAACATGGAAGCGGCAGAATGACACCTGAGAGAGTGGTGGGTCGTCACCAGGTCACAGCTGTCAGGATGATTGGAACACCCCTTTGCTGTACAGTGACCTTTGTTTTACCTCCCACTATTAGGCAGAGGAACCGTCATCACACAGCCTGATTACGGTTTTTATGCTCAGGAGAACTTGTGCTGTCTTCCAAGAGCTGCAGCTCCCACGTTTTGGTAAGAGAGGGGCAAACAGACATTTTCTCATGTCAATTAATCAGCTCATCCATGAGTTTTGCAGTTCAATCGCTGTCTTTACGTGGTGTTGTCTGCCAACGAATGGCATAGGGCATCTTCAGATTTTATTGACAAAGATAAGACTTCCATAAAAGGATCCCTTTGAAAGCAGCTTGAAAAGAATTCCAAAGCAATGTGCTTATAATAATAAATGTTTCTCCACCACTTGCTTTACAGCTCTTTTGTCTCAGGCTTCTGCTACTCTAGTTGTTGTTGTTTTTTTTTTTTTTTGAGACAGAGTCTCACTGTGTTCCCAGGCTGGAGTGCAGTGGCGATGGCTCACTGCAACCTCCGCCTCTCGGGTTCAAGTGATTCTCTTGCCTCAGCCTCCTGGGTAGCTGGGATTACAGGCATGAGCCACCACGCCCAGCTAATTTTTGTATTTTTAGTAGAGATGGGGTTTTACCATGTTGGCCAGTATGGTCTTGATTTCTTGACCTCATGATCTGCCCACCTCAGCCTCCCAAAGTGCTGGGATTACAGGCATGAGCCACCGTGCACAGCCTGTATTTCTTTTTCCTAGTTTCTCTCCTGTTTTCATTTGCTAAAAGAAAATTGTGTAAGACACTTCATGGGAACATTGAAAACTGTTACGGGTTGGGGTTTATAAAGATTTGGTGAGAACAAAAAAATCCAGACCTTGCTTCTGGCATTTGCTGGGTGGTATTTTTTCACTGGTCCCTAACTCACAGAATAATCAGCTTTGGCAGCAATATTTAGTTCCCCTTTCTTTCTACATGCTGGGATGAGGGCATATGAGAACGGAACTTGCGGTAAAGACTACCTTGCCACAAGGGGACCCCACCCTGCTTACCTTCCGCTGGATCCACAGCAGTTGTAAATATGTAGTGAATGGTAACTGTGGGCTTCCTGTATTCTGTAGTGGACATTGCCACACCACCGTCTCCAGCGGAATGAACCAGAATGTAAAACGTATACCTCTTTTGAAATGCACTGAGGCAACACAGGATGACCACATTTTTTCTGTACTATATTGCACTCTTTTGCACAATGTGTCAGAACACAACGTTAGAAACCCACAAAAGAAGGAAACAGAACAATGGAGGTTGTTGGCTGGGCAGGCCGCAAGGTAAAGGGCAGAATAGTGAATGCCCCACCTCGTCGACATCCTCTGCCAGCTGCTATTCCTGGCTCCTGACCTCTGCTGTCTCTATTATCCTTTCCCATCATCCATGCAGTCAGCCAGCCGGCATTTACTGGGCATCCTGTCATGCTGGCTGCTGGGGATACAGACCGTGAGTAGCATGCTGGTAAAAACTAAACGACTCGCTCTGAGACGGGAGCTGATTTGCGGCGCTTATTGATTTTCATAGAGCTGACACTCCCACCATGACTGATTTCAAGTTGCTAACATGACATCATCGAAGCAACGTGGGAAGAGAGGCGCAGTAGCACACCACTGCCCCCAACCAGATGCAATCGATGTGAATAACCTCCAGTGCACAGAAATAATACAATGCAGTAATGAGGAGCTGACGAGTTTTGAGTATTTATTAGCATTGTTTTAAATGTGATTTAGCTCCTGGCACACTTACATATTTTAAGTCATAACTTTTAACAAACAGCTTACAACATTTCTCAAACTAACAACTGGCTCTCAGGAGCAGGTATGTGCTGACAGCACACCACTAGACAGAGAGAAACAATGTATGCTGTCTGCTTTACAAACGTCTTTTTTAAATCTAGAAAGAAAAACATACATTTGTAAAAAAGTAGTACATACAGTTGATGTGATAATACAGTAGGAGAAAGTGCTGGGCGTAGAATTAGTGGGAAGCACAGTGAGACCCTGCTATGCACTGAATGCATCTGTCTCCCCGAAATTCACATATGGAAGTCCTGATTCCCATTGTGGCTGTATTTGGAGTAAGGAAGTATTAATTAAGGTTAGGCTGGGCACGGGGGATCAAGCCTATAATCCCAGCACTTTGGGAGGCCAAAGTGGGTGGATCACAAGGTCAAGACAGACCATCCTGGCCAACATGGTGAAACCCCGTCTCTACTAAAAATACAAAAATTAGCTGGGCATGGGGGCGCACACTTGTAGTCCCAGCTACTCAGGAGGCCGAGGCAAAAGAATCATTTGAACCTGGGAGGTGGAGGTTGCAGTGAGCCGAGATGGTGCCACGGCACTCCAGCCTGGCCACAGAGTGAGACTCCATCTCATAAATAAATAAATGAATTAAAGGTTAAACGAAGTGATAAGTGTGGGGCCCTGATCTGCTAAGATTAGTGGCCTTACAGAAGAGATGCTGGAGAGCCCCTTCTCTCTCCAGGCGTCTGCACCACAGAAAGACCGTGTGAGGACATAGTGAGAAGGCAGCTTCCTGCAAGCCGGAAGAGAGCTCTCACCAGAAACCAAACCAGCGGAGATGGGGTTCAGGCCATGCTACTGCACAATGTGGTACCTTGGCATTTGAGAAAACAGGAGAAGCAGGAAGGTAACTCTCCCTTTCCCTCATCCTTCTCCTGAGGTGGGTCACAAGGCTTTCATTTGAGAAGTACCTTCCCTATGCCTGGAGAAATGGTAGGCCCTTATTTCTTAAGACACGGGACACAGCAAGGAATCAGAACAGGCAGTCCTCAAAACGCTCCCCCAGTTAATGACCATTAGATGTTCCCTTTGTCCAATCATACATCTGCAGGACCGTCTCCTCGTCATCAAACCTAAGCATAAAAACACACAAGCTTCTCCATTTGAGTTTTTATTTCTAAAGGCTCTCGTGTCACATAAAACTTACGTTCATTAAACTTGTCTGCTTTTCTCTTGTTAATCTCTCCCTTATTATTGGAGCCTCAGTAATGAACCTAGTCATGGGAAAGAAAGATAAGCTTTCTCTTTACAGCTGGACCACTGATGATCGTGGACTTCTAGCCTCAACAATCGTGATGAAATACATTTCTGTTGCGGGAGCCACCGGAGCTATTTTGTTCCGGCAGCCCAAGCTGACTAACAGAGCCCTAACATAAAATGACCTTGAGAGCAGGCTGGTAACTCGGACTCAACAGAAGCGCCTGCGGCTGCTCAGAGGCACACTGGTTTGCACTTAGCATGTGGCCCTCCCTATTCACAAATATTTTCTCTTCTAGCTACAGTAGTCATTGTCTTCAGATGCAGACACCCTGGCAGTTATCGTCCTTGGCAGAATGTTGACTGGGGAAGGGAGAACTCTAACGTCGTAGCCCAAGATGAGAAGCACAGCAGGGCAGGTGAGGACTGGTGACGAGTGACCGCCACCACAACACAGGAGTCACACCTAGTGAGCTGTGTAGACCCAGTCTCTCTCTCTTTTTTTAGACAGGGTCTCACTCTGTTGCTCAGCTTGGATGCAGTGATGTGATCATGGCCCAGTGCAGCCTCAACCTCTCAGGGTTAAGCATTCCTCCTGTCTCGGCCTCCCAAGTCGCTGGGACCACAGGCATGGGTCAGTCACCACGCCCCAGCTAACTTTTTGAATTTTTTGTAGAGACACGATCTCATTATGTTGCCCAAGCTGGTCTCGAACTCCTAAGCACAAGTGATCCTCCTGCCTTGGCCTCCTAAAGTGCTGGGATTATAGGTGTGACCCACCTCACTCAGCCTTAGGCCCCAGTCGTTAATGGTGGCTTCTTGTGGCAAAGAAATAAACAGCCCAAATTGGATGAATAACATTTTCTCATTCCCAAGAGTCCTAGCATTGATAATGAAATTCATGCCCTTTAGAATGAGAAAGACTTTGAGAGTCTTGAACATTTTGGTGGCTGGGCAGCACTTACGGTATTCTTCCTGATGTGGTATGTACAGACACGAGCACTCAGTAAAAACATTCAAAGCTGTGGCTGTTTGTATTCTGATCCGTAGAACCGGATCAGAACTGAGTGTGTAGACGTGCTCAGAGGAAAGGATGTTGGCCAAAATGTGAACCAGGATGTTATCTCTGGATTAGATATTTTGGGAGGAGAGTTTATTTCTATATATTTGCTTGTATTGTTCACATTTTAATAATTTTTTTGTCAAAAAACTTGTCAATTTATAATAACTGTCTATTGTAAATGAAGCAAAAAGTAAGTAATGTAAGATTTAAAAAGGAAGGTTAAAATTCAACCATAGTCCCAAGAGTGAGAAAGAAGCACTATTAATATTTTGGACCACACTCCAGATCTTCTGCTGCGCGTGGCGTATTTCCTTTGTGACCTCTCATCAGCCTTGGATTCATCTGCCTCCATTTCCTAGACCGGGCTTCTGAGCCCTGGGGACAGAGGCTCAAAGCTCAAACAATGTTAAGTTAGGTCTTTCAACACAGTAGGCCCTTCATCCATGCTCACAATTTTAAAAAAGCAATCTCTAATTAGCCCTTTTTCATTCCCCACCACTATTTCAAAGCTTCAACCATTCTCCCTACCTCACCTCCTATTTCAGAGAAAATATCGACCATCAAGAGTGACGCTCTTACTTTCTTCTCTTTTGTGTTTAAGTCTGCACTTTCTTTTCTTCCCCACTGTTTTAGCTGAAAACCTTTGTCTTACCCTGTCTAAGGTCCATGCTGCTCCTTCAAAAAAAAATGACAGGCCTGGCACAGTGGTTCATGCCTGTAATTCCAGCACTTTGGGAGGCTGAGGCAGTGGACCACTTGAGGTCAGGAGTTCGAAACTAGCCTGGCCAACATGTTGAAACCCTGTCTCTACTAGAAATACAAAAAAATTAGCTGGATATGGTGGTGGGCACCTGTAGTCCCAGCTACTTGGGAGGCTGAGGCAGGAGAATTACTTGAACCGGGAAGTCCCGGTTGCAATGAGCCGGGACTGCAGCCACCACACTCCAGCCTGGGTGACAGAGCGAGACACTGTCTCAAAAAAAAAATGATAATAAAAAAAAATTACTGCTTTTCTCTGGTTTTATAATTAATCACATCCATATTAAAAATGTTAGGAAATATAAAAGACACAAAGAAGAAAATAAAAATCACATGTAACTTGAACATTAAGAGACAATTTCTACTGGCACTGTAGATTCTTTGGTTTTTCCACATGATTGTATGTCTCAGTATATTAAAGATGTATTTTTACACAGCTGAAATTATTCTACACATACTATTTCATAAACCTTCTTCCTTCTTACAATAGATCATAAATATTTTTGCATGACTACAAATATTCTGCAATGAGATTTTGAGATGTTTTTTTTAGGTTAAAAATAACTATTTTTCCTTGTTTTAAAAGCACTATATGTGTATTGTGGCACCATTAGACTTTTTTTTTAAAGGGAGAACAACTTAAATACTTATCGTCTTAGCTCTCAGATATGATGAGCTGACATAATTTTTATATAAATTTATTTTATAAAAATAAGTTCAGTCAGGTATCATTCTGTATCATTTGTGATATACAAATATTTCATTTAATCCTCATGACACACTAGGTAGTTGTGGTTGTTATGATAATCCCCATTTTCTAGAAGAGGAGGCCTGAAGAAGCTAAGTAATCTGTCGGAAGTTTGTTTTTCTTTTGGAGACAGAGTCTCACTCTGTTGCCCAGGCTGGAGAGCAATGGCGCGATCTCGGCTCACTACAACTTTTGCCTCCTGAGTTTAAGCAATTCTCCTACCTCAGCCTCCTGAGTAGCTGGACTACAGGTGCACACGGCTACGCCCGGCTGTTTTTTTTGTGTTTTAATGGAGACCGGGTTTCACCGTGGTGCTCAGGCTGGTCGTGACTCCTGAGCTCTGGCAATCCACCTGCCTCAACCTCCCAAAGTGCTGGGATTACAGGCACCTGCCCGGCCGGCCTGTTCAAAGTTACTAAGTGGTAGAGGTGGGCCATGGACCTAGGCAGTCTGCCTCTAGAGGGTGGATTTTTAATCACTCGTCTGTACAGCTCTCAGTTTATAGAGAACATCTTCCCATGTCAATAAATCTTCCTCTCTGTGCCCCGCTTGCAAATATCTACTCCAGCTCAGCGTCAGATAAACATTGTTTTGTTTTCTTGTTTTTTTTTTTTTTTTTTTTTTTTTTAAGATTTTCTTTGTCGACTACTAGTTGCATGTGGAATTACTTCTGTTAATGCTGTGAGTGGCTTCTCACTGCAGTTTTTCCCCACATGGTTAACAAATGATCCAAGTTGTACGGAACATCCTGTCATTTCTCCACTAACTTAATGCTAACTTTGTTTCTGCTTCTGTCTTCTCTTGACTTCTGTAAAAATTTATTTCATTTATTATCCACCATTTCTCCTGGATCCTGAAAATTCAAGGTAGCTTTGAATAATCGCTTGATTGATTGACGTACTTATTCAGTAGCATTTATAAAGGATATAACAGTGAGTAAGATTTTTTAAAATCCCTCTTGGGACTCACTGTCTAAAGACGTATACAACACTTTTTAGGAAACACTTGAGTTGCACTGATAATGTGCCAGGCACTGCTCTTGGTGATTTACAAATATTCTTTAATCCTCATAGCAAGACTATGATGTAAGTACTATTTATATCCCCATTTTTCATATGAGGCAATAAAACACTGAGAGGTTAAGTAACTTGTCCAGTTACTTAGCTGGTAAATGGGGGGTTGGGAAAAGTTAACTGGCAATTCCAGTTTTATGCAATGAGTGTCATTAACATAGGGGAAGTACAGGGTTCCGTGGGCTCTTAGCAAGGGCATTTCACAGCGCCATGGGAGTCAGGAAAGATTTTTGGAAGGAGTGACAGTCAAATGATTGCTAAAGAATGAGGAGGAGGGCCAGGCATGGTGGCTCATGCCTATAATTCCAGCACTTTGGAAGGGCCAAGGTGAGCCGATCACCTGAGGTCAGGAGTTCGAAACCAGCCTGGCCAACATGGTGAAACGTTGTCTCTACTAAAAATACAAAAAAAATTAGCTGGGCGTGGAGCCGGGCGTGGTGGCAGGTGCCTGTAATCCTGGCTACTTGAATGGCTGAGGCAGGAGAATCGCTTGAACCCAGAAGGCGGAGTCTGCAGTGAGCTGAGACTGTGCCATTATACTCCAGCTTGGCAACAGAGCCAGACGCTGTCTCAAAAAAAGGAGTGAGAAGGAGTAGGCTGGACACAGGCGGTGAGGAGGACTGTGAGGGTGAGTGGGGGTAGCAGCAGAAGTCTTTCACCCCCAGAAAGCAGTAGTACAAAGGCTTAGAGAGAGAGAGTTGTATGCTAGAGGCTGAAAGAAATGCAGGGTAGTTGAAACAGAGGGTTGGCTGGGGAGGGAGGGCGGGAGGCGGAAAGCCCTCGAGTTGGAAGGATCAACAGAAGCCCATCGTCCTGAGCCTTGGGAGACACTCGAGGAATTTTAACTGTAGTCCAAATAAAAGAGGAGATATTGAAGGGTCGTAAGCAGGAGAGAGATGACTCTAGCTGCTGTGTGAGGACTCATATCAACATATCAACAGGGCCAGAGTGTGGGCAGAGTACGCTGTTGGAAGTGGCTCTTGCACCAATCTACACAAGACATAATGTTGGCTTTAATTAAGTCAGTAGAAATGGGGTGAAGAAAACAACAGGCTTCAGGTGATTTAGAGGAGCTTAACTGGACCACAGGTGAAAAGAGCAAAGTCAGTGATTGTGACCTGGCTCTTGGCTTGACGAATGTCTCCATATTAACATCTAAGCTGTCTTGGCCCGTTTTCAGTTGCTTATAACATTGTACATTAAACTGAGTAATTTATAAAGCAAAGGGATGTATTTCATGCAGTTACGGTGGCTGAGACGTACAAGGGCAAAGGGCTGCATCTGGTCGCCTTCTTGCTGGTGGGAACTCTACGGAGTCCCAAAGTGGGCAGGATGTTGAGGGCAGGAGGGCTGAGCAGGCTAACATGCTTGCGCAGGTCTCCCTCCCTTTGCTTATGTAGCCACCAGCCCCACTCCCATGACAACCAATTAATGCGTTCATTCATGAGGGGATTCATCCTTTCATGAGGGCAGAAGCCTCGTGACTGTCACCTCTTAAAGGCACCATCTCTCAATGTGACCACAGTGGGTATTCAATTTCAATATGAGTTTTGGAGGGGACAAATATTCAAACCGTAGCATAAAGCAGTGATAACAGTGTGGATAGTGGATTGATTAGACTTATATCCATGTAATACAGAGGAGAAGGAATGGTTTGCCTGTAGTCCAATGGTAACATTCCTGTGAGTTCTGCCTTCATACCCACAAAACGCTCATTAAGGACAGTGGATAAAGTTTATAAATATGGCAAATATTAAAAGTAGTATCTTCGGGGCTGTGATTACATATAATTAAAATCGTTTTTTGGCTGTTTTTTTTTTTTTTTTTTTTCCTCAAGACAAAGTTTCGTTCTTGTTGCCCTGGCTGAATAAATAGCACGATCTCGATTAACCACAACCTCCACATCCCGGGTTCAAGCGATTCTC